GAGAGAGAGAGAGAGAGAGAGAGAGAGAGAGAGAGAGAGAATTACGTACCTTGCCGTGATCCTATCAACGTCTGTAGAAGTAAGGAAACACGTGAGTTGAATTTGTATTTTTTTTAATGCTTTATATGAGCAGACCATAGAAGCTCTTCGCCGGCGGCTCAGCTAATACAGACTTCAGCAAAAGTTAAGGACCACCTCGACAGACAGTCCTGAATTTTTTTTAAAAATCAGTTAAAAAGACGGCAAGGAATGTTTCAAAATGTTTGCCCTGAAAGTGTTAATGGGTTACAAACGCGTAATGCAAAGCCTCCTAAAGGACTAAAACCACGACGTGTAGCACGGAAATCCTCGTGGAATTTTAGCCAAATTTGCTGTTTTTTATCGACTTGTGTGCGACACCACAGACATTCCTCAGTTAAAATTTCTGGTGTACTTAATAAACGGACGCACTGTCTTGAACTGTGCTCATTTTTGTGGTAATATAAGCCTCCGTTTGCACCAAATCGAGTATCGCATCAACATACCACCAAGACGAAAGCTGAGAGACTTTGATCGTGCCAGAACTATGGCATGGCTGCAGGATGGATTTAGAGCCTGAGAAGTAGCCAGAAGGCTTGGCGTGCCACACTCTGTCATTGTTCGCCTGAGGCAGCGCCATCACGCCACTGGATCAGTCCAAGAACGCCCACCTGCAGGTCGACCCAAGAAGACCACTCAGAGAGTGTTTGCATGTGGTCCTATGTTGAAGTCTGTATGTACGAAACGTAGGTGTGTGGAAAGTCCTGGCGGCAAGTCATAATAAATAATGTCCTTGATGTACTGGTATTCACAATAATAATTGCACGTATATGTATAGGTCTATACTGCTCCATAATACTTTGGCAAGCTCTATGTGCTTTATATAACAATTTCTATTGCCCAAGCAGATCCTAGAGCATCCAGAAAAATACTTGGCTTTCCGGGAAGCATGCAGTGCAAACAGCCGGTTAAGCGCTCAAACTCTAACAAACTGACAGTAACAGGATCTGTTGCCGTTTATAGTCAAGTACCTATTCCCAATTGGGTGAAGTGAGAGACATTCGAGTAAAATGCCTTTTCCAAGGACACAACGTCGGGTCCATGATAGGGTTTGAACCCACAGCTTTTCCTTCAGGAGCCCGACAATCTGACCTCTTGATCACCGACGCCACGAGGGAGAAGGGTGACGTTAATTGTTCCATTACATGTACAAATTATGTACTTTTCTCTCATGAAATATTTCATCTGATCTGCTAGATTTTGAGAGAGAAGTTTGAAGCCCTCAAATTTTGAAATATCAGTGACAGTAGTAAGTTATGTCTGATCAGAATGAAGTTGTTCTTTTCATTCGGTTTTCACAAAAATTGCACACTGTATGGTAAAGGACTCCTGCTTTCAACCCACCATTTTCCTTCCTTCAATAAAAAAAAAGTACATGTATGTGTGTCTTTTACGTCACAATCGCCACACTTAAGATTATTCAAGAGGTGAACTACAACTACACAACCCTACCTGTCAGGGCAAACCTGGGTTGAGTGGGATACAACATCCCAGCAGAAAGACAGATATTAGATATATACATGATAAAACTTCTCCCTGCACGGGAGTCGAACTCGAGTCTTCTCCGTGCAACGGTGAAGCACCTAACTGTTACACCACAGACACCAGTCTTCAGAGGTATATATGATAAAACAAGGGTGTGTCTATAGCTCAAGTAGCTTTATACTGTATGTTGTGTAAGCAACATGAACTCAAATGCATACAGTATGATAGAGGGGCTTTCTTGAACTTGAATTTGAATTGATCAAATTTTCATTGCCCTCCACACATTGGGTTAAGTCCTATTAAAAAAATAAAGGTGTGTGCTAAACTGGTTTCTGTCACTTTAAATAACCTGGCTGAGTTGAAATGGGCGTAACACACATACCATCCAATACAATATAACGCTTTTAATTCACAATACAGTGTAGTCCAGTGTGATCATTGTGTAACACATTAAGATAGTAAAGCGAAATTTAACCATGAGACTTAGTTACTTAGTTGGTTTTTTTCTGTAGGCATTTTTATGTCCCCATCGACACGATTCAAAACATTTAGGAGGCAAGATTCAACTCTGTCTGTAAGGGCAAACCCGGGCTAAGGGATACAACATCTTAGCAAGAAGATATATGTAGGCCTATTTAAAATAAAATTCTCCCCGCTCAGGAATCATGAAGTTGGGTCTCCTGTGTGCAGACAGAAAACTATATGCGAGGCAGCGTGGTGGTATCAGGCTCTCGTCAATTTTTGGGCATGTAGAGTTATTGGTATCATCTTAAAGCTTGTTCACTTGTCTTTATTTGGATGAAAAAATATCCATTTATCTTGAATACAAGTCGAGATATTTGCGAATGAAGGGGGTGGGGGTCACCTGTTTTCAGAGGTAAAATTAGTGAGAAAATAGCCGCCAAAGATCAGTTATTTCCTTAGCTTAAGAGTCCGCGGTAAATGAAAATTTACATTTTTTTGTGCCTTTAATCAACGTTTTTCAGAAAAACCCACACAAAAATGAGTTCTTTAATGGGCATGAAATGTGTTGAGCCAAAAAACAAAAAATTGAAAAAAATTCACAAACCTGCGGGAAAAATGCAAGTTTCTTCACTTTGATTATTTTGACGAGAGCCTGATTCCACCACGCTTCTTCACATATGGCATTCTAAAAGATCTAAAGCAGACTGTACAGTCTGTGCAAATCACTGGATTGAAAGTCTGTCATCGAAAATGAAGAAGAGGAGGAAAAATGAAAAAAATCCAAAATCTCCATTAAAATCCAAGATACACACCGCAGTCCTGCTTCAGATTGTGTTGGAAGAGGAAAAAACTGGAATCTGAGAAAATTATAACATAGTACATATATCCAAACCTCCATTAAATTAATATCCATGTCATGATACACATCACAGTCATATACAAGATGTAAGAAAATGTAAAAAAGGAATATCCAAAACCTCCATTAAAATCCATGATACACACCACAGTCCTGCCTCAGATTGTCTTGGAAGGGCAAAACTGGAAACTAAGAAAACGATATACTGTCGAACCTGCGCTGATGGCCACCTGTACAAACGACCACTTTCCATTTCCCCCCTTTCGTTTTTTCTATATCATTTAACTGTGTAAAACGGGCACCTGTCCAACGTGGCCGCGGCCACCATATTTGAACACATAACCTCTATCACACTAAGCAATAACACCTGTCTTAGACGGCCACCTTAGTGACCCCATTGCATATATTCATAAATTGTGCATTGACCCCTGGCATTTTGGACAAGCCGTCATAATTCAATCACCTGTCGTTGTTGTTAGGTAGCCCCTCCAACCGATCATGCTGCGTAGGCCCCTCCCTCTGTTGACAAATAGCTACCAATTTTCAGCTGCTGGAGGGGTAAGAGTGTGATCCCTCATATCCCATAAGCCCCGCCCAGAAGTCATACACAAATCGTAAGTGAGAAGAGTGGTCATTGTATACCCAGTCTGTAACAAAGTAACAATGGACGTCAACATGAACTTGTGACCAAAGCATCGCTCGTTCTCTGAGTGGTGGCGACCCATGTGTTTGTTTTAGCACGGTACTTGGTCTTCCTCATCCGATATATTTCGTTTTATTGTCACCCTTGCGCAAAATCAGCAACAAAATAGAAATAACAAACAAAATACAAATCAACGGCCACCTGTCTTATACAGCCACTTTTCTCCTTGACAATGGGTGGCCATCTTACACAGGTTTGACTGTAGTAGGGAACTATAAATCCTCACGTGATGAGCATGGATAAATCACAAACCATGCTCCTGTCTTTCAGCTGCTCTCGTCAAACAAATAGAACAAACCAAGATTGGTGAACAAATGCAACATTTATTATTAAACTATTCAATTAAGTTTTCCCTATCGTTTGTTTCTTTTTCTTTTTTTTCTTTTTCCACTTCGCTTGATTCACCCTGGCCTTCAGTTCTTTCTCCCATCGTTGCCGGTACATTGTGTACAGCCTCATGGTAGCTTGAGCATCTTGAACCTGAGAAGAAAAAAATACAACCATTTCAGAGAAAAGAGTGGGTGATACTGATACTTTCTTCTAAAATTTCTCAAAAAACATTTTCCAGTCTCCACTGTTTGTTAACAGAAAATTTCTTTTATCAGTAAAAAAGATATTTTTGTCAGGTACCAGTTTTCTACAGTGGAAACCTGATATAACAGGGATGGTGGGACCAGAGAAAAAGTTCTGTTATATCAGATCCCTGTAAAATCAGAAAAGCAAGGGAAGTAAGCTTTTGTGGACTTATCCAGTTGTATTTATTCATGGGTAGTTTCCCATGACCTGCGCATGACACATTACACGTGCATGTTGCTTGACTTAGGGCTAGATCGAAGTCTGCATCACACCTCAGCCCTCTCGCACTTCACCTGCTGCGTGTGCTTGCAGTGGTGTGGCTTGCATGGGCTTGCTCAATTAATGCGTTACTCTCTCTCTCTCTTACTTTTTACACATTGTTAACCAGCTTTTGTCCCTGCTATAACCAATTGGGCTCTGATGAGGCCCTGTTATTGCCGACAACTTTTAATAGAGACAAAGAGTAGGAAAAAAACAGGGATTGAAAAAACAAACCCAGTTATTACCAGGCCTGTTATATATACGGTTTCCACTGTACACTTTTTCACCAAGTTCCATGATCACTTTCAAAATATCACTTTGTGAAGATGGGAAGAAGCACTCAGTGTACTTATTTTTACATGTGCACTCCATTTTGATACAAAAATAGCTTAGGAAAATTTATTTAAAAAATTTTTTTTAGTAGAGGGTTTTACGGCGCTCGCAACTGCATAAGGTCATATGAGTGCCAAGGGGTGGGTGTCAACAGAGAAGTCCTTACAGGGAATCGGACTTACTCTGCTCACCTCTCTGGCTTCAACAGCACAACGTCTGCTTCGACTATCAAGGTACCCCAGAAATAGCGGGTTTCAAGAGTGTGACAAACATACAAAAGAAGTAAAGGGAAATGACAATAGTAAGAATCAGAGACAGGCAGAATCAGATAGCCAAAAGAGGAGAGGAGGAAAAAATGAAAGCTAATCCAACACTTTTGCCAACATCATACGGATCCCAACCCCTCCCCCAAATCTTAAAAAAAAATATTTTTACTTCCTTCTCACTACTGCATACACACAGAGAAAAAAAATTAAGAAAAAAAAGACAGACCCAATCAGAAAAAGCTCGACATTCTTGAAAAAAATGTTGGGATGGTAATTATCTGTTTGTCATATTTCACTACACAAATGTAAACATGTATTTATCTCATTTTGTGAAATCTAGAGCAAGGCAATCATAAGGATGCCTGAGGGAGACAGGATATTCTCCATCTAACCTTTCACCACCTGTGAGAGAGTCATCGGAACAACAGTAATTCAGTTACTGTCACTGTACAAAACATTATAACTACACCAATATTTTTTTTAACATCGGATACAATGAAATTTAAAAGCATATATTCTCCCGTTCCATTTACTGCACGAAAATGATATAAAAAAAAAAATTCTTTCTAGAAAATCACAACAACTGCCTAATTTTATTCCAAGTTTCAGATGAATTAGAAGAGAATCTCAAACACAATAACTCAGAAAGTCATCAATGCACTCACAGAACTGTGTTGGCCTTCCTGGACAGACACGCCCAGCAGTTTGTCAGACAATTTCTTCAGGGCAGGAATTCTCCCATTGAAGAGCTCTCGGAACGGCTTGTACTGGCTCGTGTCTCGGGTGTCACCGTGAGGATGAGTCAGGAATAATACCTGCAGAAAAAGCAGAGTACTTTTTTTTGTCCAGTAGAAAAACATAGCTTTTTATTCAAAGATGACGTTGAAGATTTTTTTCCCTTTCTTCTTTCATAAGTGTTTTACGGCACTTGCAACACATTAAAGCCATACAAATGCCAAAGATTAGAGAAGTTACAAGAGAGAAATAAACACAAAAATGAAAGAGGAGAGATAAGGACGATATGTTTGATAGGAAAGGAGGAGCAGACCACACCAGAGCACCCGTCAATCACCCATCCACTTTGAAGATTTCACTGAAGAAAATTTCCAAATTATTAATCCAGAAGGATGAGCGGAGTAGGAATAGGACATGGATAGTATGTACCAGGCCCCAGTTCTTTTTCTTTTTGTTCTCCGGCTATATTCAAGGGTGGTTCTGCAAAGAAACTGATTTTTACGTACGTGACTGTTTTTTCCTACTTTGCAAGGCTCCTTGCCTTCAAGTTGTAGGTAGCCACATTCCGACTTAAAAGGTAGGCTACTCTACATTATTTTTTATACTGACAACGGTATTTTAAGTTTTACAGGGCTCCAGTGACTTAAGTGAGTTTATCAGCGACAGGATTCTCTACTCTTTCCCTCTTGGTATCCATTTGCCCATAAGAAGGAGAGGGCTTTAAAAGAAATCAACTTAGGAACCTGAGAAAACGCAGCAGCAAAGGGTCAAAACCAAAGGAAGTAATTAGTTTAAGATCGGTCTCAAGGAAAGAAAATTATGAAGGAGCAAATGGATGTACCAGATGTACCATGTGGCTGAACAGAGTGCAGAACATCAGTCAATCATTTTCTCACATTCCCTGCTGTTACTGTTTGTATTTTTTGGCAGGAATTAAAATTTGTCTAAATATCTAAACATGCACCATCATCGAATGATGTGAAAAGCAGTTTGATACATCACAAACACTATAGGTTTTTTTGGGTTTTTTATTAGGGTTTTATGGCGCTCGCAACTGCACGAGGTTATATGAGCATGCGGGGCAATTTACACATTTTCAGTTGGTAGGAAATTTTGAATTTCGCCCAGGCGGCGGCCGAAGCCTACTCTTGTAGATTTTTGACCACCAAGGGATCTTTAAGGGGATCCACTGGTCAGATCAGTAAAAATTTTGAAAAAATATCAATTTTCAGATTTTGGAGTATCTTAATAGATATCAATATCAAGGATCCATCTTTAGAAGCCTAATTCCTTTATCAAACGTATAAAAAGCTGGAAAATGCATTTAAGAGAGGCAGCAATGTAGGAAAATCTTCACCAAAAATTATCTCTCTTTGCAGTTTTCTCAGAATTGTTTATCTGACCAGGTTGCAACACTATTTTGAGTAGATCTCAGAAAGTTACTGTCAGAAGTGTTTCACATTTGGACACAATTTTTTATACACATTTCTCTGTAACTTTACAGGAGCATTTTTGCTGTTTATGGAACACATTTGGAGTTTTAGGCCTGTTTTATTTGACAAAATCTGAAAACATTGGAGACCTGAATGTGGTGCATAACAAGGACTGTAAGGCTCACAAGTTAGTACAGAAAACTCAAATTTGGCTCTGTAAGGTTGTTCTACCTACCAACAGTAATCGCCATGCCAAATATTAGGCTTCTATCTTGATGAGTGTTGATGATTGACAAAATATAAAATTGGTTTTAAAAATGCTGAATCAATCCTTTATTTTTGATGGCTCGGGATTATTATGGCTAAAATCTTGAATTTTTTGCTTGGTAACCTTTTTTTGTACTATGTCACCGCCTTTGATGCAGAAAAGCAAACATTAGACCAAAAACTATAGGATTTGGGTGTTGACCATAGCTACACCCCCTTAAAATGCGCAACTTGCGCATGGGACCCCGTCCAAGATTTTTCACCCATATCCGAGAAAGCTAGGTGTTAGATCTTACCTACCATAAGATGAAGGGTTTGGCGGAAAGACAGCAGTAAGAAGGAGCCAAGGAGAAGCTGTAGAAAGGCTGCAGAAAGAGTCAGGAGCCCAGAGGGCAAAGGTGAGGGGGTAGGGGCAGAAAGAGGAGACGAAGGCAGCCACCAGTACATTGTTAGAGAGCAGGAAAGGAGGTGAAAGGAGAAAATTTTCCATCACTGTCCGGATTCGAACCTGGGACTTATTGAATGAGAGGCGAACACCATAACTTCTTGACCACCAGAAAGAAACATTATATCACTTATTCGAATGATTTTTTTAAAGCGTAACACAACACCTAGCAAGAAGTTACCAAAAAAAACCCCAAAATGCTGTGATTATCTCAACAATGTCCATATCCAGTACGGCAAGTCACATACACGGTGGTACTCAAAAGCTGATGTGGAAGAGGACCAGTTTGATAATACGTTATCCAAGTAGCCTACTTTGTATGATCTTCTTAAGATTAGATTACAGCTGCTCAGAACATACAAAAGACAATTGCAGTCAAATCTGTTCAAGACAATCATCCATTGTTGAGAAGAAAAATGGTCCTATTGGACAGTGTTGTTATAAAAAGATAAAAAGCAAGGGGGAAAGTGGGAAGTAGTCCTTTGAACAGGTGATTGTTTTGGACAGGTGGTCGTTAAGAGTGGGCTCATTTAGTGCACTGACAACATACGGAGAACAAAAACTTAATAAAAGCCTAAACTACAATGCTAAACACCAGCTGAGGATATAAGTTTCATGGAGAAGTTTACTGTTACAAAAATAGTCTTTTTTTTGAAGAGTCACTTGAGCAGAAAACACACAGAGAAGAATGTGGGTGTATATATTGCACTCACCCGCAGGTCATTATGAACAGCATGTCCCACCAAGGTCCTTCCCTTCAGGATATCACTGACCTCTTTTTGGACTTTGCTAAACTCTTCACCTAGAGAGAAAAAGAAAAAAAACAGCTGCCTGTACACATCAATTCTTTCTTAAAAAGTAGGGTTTTTTGGGGGTTTAAAAATTTTTCTTACACCCCTATCGACACAACTTACATCATTTAAGATGCCAGCTTCGACCCTGCCTGTCAGGGTTGGCCCAGGCTGACAGCAAGCAATGCAAGGTTCCAGCCGAAAGACCAGGATACTCGATAAAAATTCTTCGCACATTGGAATCACGCTGCAAAGCATCTAAATCTAACCACTACATCACTGACGTAGATCTGTGCAAATTGAAAAGTGCTAGGTTGGACCAAAATCAATTATTTAAAGCTAATAACTAAAAAATTACTAAAGCACTGAAATCATAGAAGCAACTATGTCTGCAACACAACACATATCCCATGTACATGTTTTGTTAAATTAAAAGTGCTTTTTGTTTGTTTTAGTAAGTGTTTTACAGTATTTGCAACAAAATAACTTCACATAATCGCTCAAAATTAGAGGTCTTACAAGAAAGTAACAAACACAAAAAAGGAGGGGAGATAAGAACAATAGATGCTTGAATATGAAAGATGGAGCAAACTACACCAGAGCACCAGCCAACCACCCACAAGACAAGTGCCTGTCCAGTAAGAAAAGTCAAAGGGTTGACAGCTAGAAGGAACACCAGCCAGATCAAACCTGAACACATTTCAAACAAACAGAGTAGAAAATGCACATATATAAATGAGATCAGCTGTTAATCTTACACAGAGTTGTAGAGATGTATGAAGTAGATGTTTTCTTTAAGTAAAGAGAAGCACATTGTTGACAAAATAACAGACATTTATTACTGAGAAGAAGCAAGATGGACAGACAGAAACAACACAAAGGAATAAAAAGAGAAGTAGGACCTGCCAGTTGTGCCCTCTAACTATTCACTTATTATGTATGAAGTGGATGAGTCAGCACAAGTAACAGCCATATATATAGATCTACAGGAACAGATCAGGACAATACAAACACTGAAAAGAATAAGAAGGAGCAAACCCCACCAGAAACCCTTGCACAACCCCCCCCCCCCCCCCGAAGAAAGAATTACCTAAATGCCACATAGGCCTACTGTAGGTAATAATGATAAAATGTTAAACAGTTGAACTTGTCCAAGAAGACCAGGTAGAAAAGCAGTCATCTTAGACAGGAGGTCCTCTTGAACAGAGTAACTATAATGTAGAAAAACATGGGAGGGGGTGGTAGAAAGTTGTCAGTTGTACAAGTGATTGTCTTTGACAGGCAGTCATTAGAGCAGGTTCGTCTGTATATTTGAATATATAAAATGAGGTAGGTGTAGACAGAAAGCAACCCTTAAAAGACGGGTGATGGGGAAAGACCAGGATAATAACATAGGTTTTTTGAGAGCATCTGAGTGGAGAAATGAAAGGCGTATCATGATTGCTAATCTGTTTCACAGCTCACACTTTATGATGATGATGATATTTACACAGAGCATATATCCCTGCTTGAAAGCAGGCTCTACATGCTTTACAATACTCATGAAAACCAGCAAAGTGTTGAGTTGTATCTTACCAGTTGCTAAATTTTCCTTTGTAATGCCGCTGACAAAAGTGCGGTAGTCCGTGACCTGCTCCCGCGGGAGCACAAACTTGTCGTAAAGACAAACACCAAAATGGTTGACGATGGACACCCGTGCCAGCATGCTCTCATCGCCTTCAGGGCCGATTCCAACCATCTCACAATCCATGGCCACACAACTGGTCAGCCTGAACAGAAAAGTTCTTCATTACGACAGAAATAAAATTATTATACAGTCGACTACAGATGAGTTGATGTCATCGGGGGTGTAAAAAAGATCAACTTATCCATTGTCATGGTCATACGAAGGCAAGGGACATGAACAACACCATTTCCTTTGCTCATTAAATTAATTTTGAATTCTCTATTAATAATAATAATAATAAATAGCATTTATACTGCACATTTCCATTTCTTTTAAGATGCTCAATGCGCATTACAACGAAAAAGACATCACATCTTAAAAATTAATGGACAAGTGTGTACGTAAAACAAAGTATTATACATATAATATAAATGTATATGTGTAAAATTTAATATGAGAAAAACAGTCTCGCAGTGAGGTTGAAAATGTGTTCACTAAAAATATACAAAGCAATAAAAATTCACGAACGGTCACAATAAAGTTGAAACGTGAGTAACTAGAAACATTCATTAAAACATTAATTCTATACAGATAGAAAAACATTTTCGTTCTCTCTCTCTCTCTCTCTTCTTCTCTCTCTCATTCTCAAACGCTATTTCTTCAGTCGTTATTGATTTTCTAGACTGAAAGAACGACACACTTTTTTCCAGACATCTTTTTATGAGTAGTAGAAAAACTCAAATAAAAATTGATTTTAATGCAATTTGAATCACATTACAGTAAGATGGAATGAACAATGCCAACTCTATGAATCTTCTCTCGCACACCCATGCCTATCCAGTTATATTCAAATGGGAGTACATGCAAAGAAACTATCCCAATAAGGCCAACTCATTGTCGTGCGGTGTGACATCCCCCCCCCCCCTTCTCCCCCCCCATTTCATCAAGGTATTGTGTAGTCCAACCGCACTTGATTTGCTTTATACGTTTATATATATATTTTTAAGTAAGGTATCATCTGTGTAAAAACTTGCAGCAAAATATCTGACTAATCTGACAAAATATGCCCTCAAAATCGATTCAGTCATAGCATACTATGATACTTGCAGCAAGGTGTAAAAAAGCACTTCGACACAAAATGTTTACTCTTGAGATTGAGCTCAAGATAACCCTTTGATTTTTATAAACGGATAGAAGAAAAGGCGCTGGGACCCAAGAAAAAAATTAGCTTAACCGAAGATCAACTAAAGTCACTTCATCAACACAAATGCAGTTGACTGTATTGACACAAAAGTTGGCCTTACTTACAGGTAACTCTGTGTCAGTAACTTGGCACTAATTAAGCATTCAGCAAATCTTACTCCAAGTGTGATTTTTTTTTTAACTTCTTAAAGTACACAAAAAGTAAACTAATGTCTAGAGTTCCTCCCTTCAAGGCCAAGAGAACAAGGATTCTTCACTTTTTCTCCATAAAATCAAGAACATCTCTTCAATTTTATTTCAAAAGAGTATGAAGATATCTGCTCAATAAGATTTGCTCTAGTTGAACAAATATTTTGAAAAAAAAAAAGGTTGTATGAGGTGAACGTCTGAAATGGAAAACTACAGAAAATATGAGTACAGTGCTCTAAAAATGACAATATCTCTTCCTCACAATTCAAACAGTCAAAATTACATGTATATATACCAACCCCGGAAAAGAGTCTGGTTTAACAAGTTTAGCTTCAGTTTCTGTTCCAGAAGACATTGGCACTTTAGGTTTTGACGATTTGACTTCTTCGGCATCTGCACTACTGATCTTGTCAGTTGCTGCTTCAATGAATATTTCATCTACATTATCGAACCAGATTTCATCTTTGGCTCTGAAACATTGAAACAATAAACAAATTAGTAGCAACATCAAAAAGGACGAATCTTGCAGAAGACTTGAAAAAAGGCAATATAACAAGCACAGAAAGAAATTAGACAATTTTGCACATGAACAAAACAGCTGAAACACTTGCTTATTCAATGAACTCAATGTCTTTGTGACTTTTTGACCCAAACAGCTTTTTCGTTAACCAGTTCTAAAAAATAATTACTGAAGTCTTAACGAAATTATACTTTATCAACATGTTGTACAGCAAATGAAAGGCTTCATCATTTTTATAATAAAACATCTTCAAAATGATTGCTTAACCGTATCCGTACGCCCTGGGGTCATTTTGTACCCCCGGGGCTGTATTCTTCATCTTTTAGAATACTTCTAGTGTGAAGATCTCTTTGAAACTTTCAGTATTTCTAAAAAAAATCATTTTGACAGACTGCTATGCAAAGCGTGCGGATCAGATTAACGAGTAAATTTCCTCTTTGGACAGTGGTGGCACAGAGTTCCCCCACGTCGTATGGATACGGTGGTTAAACATGTCGTACAGATAGGGATAAAAAGATAAAAAGTCCCCCACCATAAAATAGAGGCGTGAGAAGTTAAGAACAATGCCTATATTATTCTCTGAATTGTTTTTGTTGAAGTGGTGGCTTTTCAATAAAATAAATAATATAAATTAACCCTGAAGCTGTAAACTCACTAAGTATTAAACACTGCAAGACAAAATGGACACAAGCCAAGTTGTTTTTTTTCAGGAACATTAACTTCTCACAACACCTCAACAAAAAGAACCCCGAAACCATCTAAAACTTAAGACACATGATAAAGCATCAGACAACTAAAACTGAAATTAGACAAGGAATGTGTAAATTAAATTATTATTATTTTCTTTATAGTAGAGGGTTTTACAACGCTCGCAACTGCATAAGGTCATATGAGCGCCAAGGGGTGGGTGTCAACAGAGAAGTCTTTACAGGGAATCAGACATAGACTGCTCACCTCTCTAGCTTTAACAGCACAAGGTCTGCTTCGACTATCAAGGCACCCCAAAATAGCAGGTCACAAGAGAGTGACAAACATACAAAAGAAGTAGAGGAAAATGACAATAGTAAGGATCAGGAAAGAAAAAGGAGCAGTTCCCTGTTGTAGATCAGGCACAGTTATGAGCGTGACATGAGTCAGCCCATTTACAATTCTACTATGCTTGAACGAGAAATGCCCTCCCTTTGGGAATGGCCTAAAGACACTTCAGTCAGTGGCACTGCCCCGGGGGGGGGGGGGGGGGGGGGGGGGGGGGGGGTAAATGAAATTAGAGAAAGCTAATTGCAAACAGGATCGCAATGCATAGGCTCTACCGACTGCATCCGTCACAATTGTGAGGGAGATGCGTAGTCCTTAGACTATAAAAGCAAACAAGGAATACAATACTCAGTACCTCACAACATTGTTCAAGTACCAAAAAAAACATAAAGAAAACAAAAGTAATGACCCCCCCCCCCCCCTCATCCCAGTTCTTAGAAATTTCCATTCAAGTGGCAGTGCTGATTGTGCCGGCAAAAATTATTAGAACTGCTACACTCCATCGATCTATCAAATAATTTGGATGAAGGAAAGTAAAATGGGGCACACAATTTTACCAGTTTGCAGGATATGGACTAAAAAAGAAAGGTGAACCAAACAGAAAATAAGTTTAGAAAAACAGACAAAAGGGAATAAAAGTGTGAATAAAGTAATAAACAAAAAGTACAGGACTTTAAATGAGAGAAAAGGGAGGGGTGGGAGCAGTGTAGCATATTTGCTGACTGCCAGAGTAAAATTCACTTAGTTCCACTGAACTGTGCCACAGTCAGTCAGCACAGCTTGGCCAACAATTTGTTACTTTCTGAAGTGAACAAAAGTAACACTGAAAGAAAGATGAAGAGGTGGACCACAACAGTGCACCCTCAAAAAGACTAACCACATGCAAACGGGTAGAAGAGTCACAAAACAGTCAAAGCTCATAGTACTGCCCCCGTTGTGCCGCCAGCCACACTTAACACAAGGTTTTGCTAATGTACAAAAGGGGATGCCTATATAAACAAAGTATTTGCGCCTTTACACTGCCATCTGTCTACTGTCTGATTTGTACGGTCCTTATTTAACTAAAGTAAATTTGCTCAGCTGTACTGCCAACTTCATGCCCGTCGAAAGGTAGGTGGTACAACAGGGTTTGATCGCACTTCCATGAGCTTTCAACTCACTTTTTGGCTTCAGTCTGAGGAGCCTCAGGATCTGCTGGTCGTTTCACTGCTTTTGTTTTCCTCTTCGCATCTATATGGAGAGTCTGAAAAGCACAAATCCATTCAGTAAAGCAACAAAGCTAATGATGGCAAAAAAATTATAGGAATGCAAACTAAACATTTGTCTTACAGGAGCATACGCTTCACTATTTGATTAAAAAACAGTTTGCTTTTCTAGAAATGAAGTAAACAGTGTTGTTCTGAATATATTTCTAAGTATAAGGTTGATTTACCACTCATTGCTTCTTTAAGATTCATAATTTCAGAAAAGCAGACCCATTTAAAGAGGAGCCTAGAAGCTTTTGAAGAATGGAAGTTCTATTTTGTACAAGAAAGCCATACCATACGGCTTATTTGGAGTATTTCACTTTTTTAACAGAACAGTCATAAAACTGTTTTAACATGACAGAATATTCAAAGCCACAAAACTCATTACCGAACAGAGATTCATCCAGTTGGAGTTACCATCTGGTTTTGCCTTTCTTCTCGATCCTGGAGAAAATAAAATTCCAAACAATAATAACTTGAACTTAAAGAAAATCAACATGGTTTTAAAAAAGCAACACATTAATCAATAAAGGGACAAAGAACATGGGACAGACTACTTTCAAACCACTGACAAAATAGTTATTGTGTCAACTAGTTTCTATGGACTCGCAATGACAAGAAAAAGTATAAAACCTCAAAGTTTTAAAAACACAGCTGTTTTGCTTCTGCAGAGGCAGTTTAAAATTCACTTTGACAAATGAATCAAATGCAACAAAACAACCCATAAAAAAGGAAAAATGCATGACAGTTAAAGTTAATTTTAAAAAATTAACAGAATAAATCCCAAGCAGAAACATGAACCCCCTTACCATGGTTGGGATCTCAAGGCATCAATCTTGTCATAGAAGGTAAGACATGGGGTGCATAATTTTTTTACAGTATCTCTTAAACCTGACTTTGAATTGAGAACATCGGTGTTTCAACAGCGAAAACTTTGTGAAATTAAATCTCCGTAAAGATTCACAATGACGACTGACAGATACCTCACTGTCACTATTAGTATAAAGACTTTAATTCATTCTCACAAAAAAGTAGTAGACTGAAAAGAATGTCATTCAAGAACTTTTGAACCTTTTCACTCACCCTTTTTCTTTTTCTTGGAGGTAGCCTGCTCCGTTTGTTTTTCAGCCATTTCAGTTCCACTAGGGATTGCTTGTTTTGTCTCCGCTTGTTGCCTTTGTGAGGTGTCAGATTTATTTGTAAGTTCTACTCCTGACTGAGATGTACTCTGTGGTTCTCTTTTCTGTGAAACAGCCTTGTCAAAACCCACCTTCACCCCATTCACTTTCACTTCACTGGCATGAGCATCTGCGGCAAACTTTGTAACTTTGGTGGTTTGGAGCTTGTCTTTTTTAAAGTTATGTTTTAAGTTGTTATTTGTCAGGGACATCTGCTTGTCAACAAATTTTTTGTTGCTTGAAGACTTCATTTTTCCTGATTCCAGCTAACATTTATTTACTTAATTCAAAACTCAATATTATCATATATCATCATGAAATCTATCAATGAGCAGTCATTCCCATTGAATTAAGGCAGCTCAAGATCAACACATCTCGTTTTTATCTTTGACAGCTCCAGTACACGGTAACACCTGTAAAACATCAGGAAAAGTCTGTTAGGTATATATATATACATATACTACAGAATTCTGCGGATTGGAATCACAACGGCTGACAATAACAGAAGAGGCAGTGGGATCTACAGAGATCATAATATATTACAAAAGAATATTTAATGAACCATATATTTTTAATATGGGTGCCTAGCTGAAGTCAGTATTCACTAGGAAAAGAAGTCATCTTGAGCCCTGCCCTCCTAATACTCAGTGCCCATTGGGGGACCGACAAACCCATTGCCCCATTCACAGCCTGAAAACAAACACGTTTGCTTTTGACGCTGCGGTCGGGTGATCAGTTTGTACGACGATGGTCGCTTTACGCCCTCAATCTGGCTAGTCCCGCCAACAAAACAAAATCAAACTGAGCCAAATGTGCCAATGGGCAATCGGTATAAGCATACAGGACTTGTACACCTGAGCTCTGGTATTGTTAGTGAGATAACACAACAATCCATCAGGTCAGAATACATCTGACACTCTTTGTGCCTATACACCATTTTTTTTAAGAGGGAGAAGAAATTAGGTGCAGATGCTTAAGAGTAGTACAGTGGACTCCTGTTATAACGAGAGGGAGGGGACAGGTATGAAATGTCCGTTATAGCAGGATTCTCATTATAAGGGATCCAGTAATAAATTCAAAAGAAATAATAAAGCAGGCCTAATCTATGAGTTTTGTGTTCTGTTTAGAGCTTGCTTTCGAGCGGGGTTATGCGCTATACAAATGCTATCTATTATTATTATTATTTCTTTTTGTTACCGCCCCTGATGATGATTATGCCCAACATGACCTCCTAATCTTCTTACTTGATAAAAAATCGAATCACGTTTCTTTCTCTAGCACTAGCAATGTTGACAGTTCGGCATTGGCGATCAGAAAGAAAGTTCTCTGGGCTAACTCGCCGGCTGTGTTGTCCCCCACCCCACCACACCCTGTGGTGTGTTCCATCTGCTTGCACACATCATACATTAGCTCCATCTATCACAGCACTATGGCCTCTCTATCCCTGCATCATAGAAGTGAGAGGCATGGTAGGCCTAGATAATCTAGACTAGGGTGGCCTATCACGCAATGCGTTCTGCTTCATAACTGCTTGTCTGCGCATGATACACCTTCCCCACTCATTCGCTCCTGCCTTCACCGTTGGCACACGTGGGCTCTCCTATTCTTTGTTTCTCTAGATCACCAACAAGTTTCTCAACTGGCGAGGTTTTACATGGTATAAATGGCCTATATGTTGCTGTGCACAGCAGCAGCACTATTCCGCTATAACCGACTCTCGTGTTTGTCTGATTGCCTGATAGCAGTATTTTATTTACAAAGATAAAGAAAGGGAAAAAAACGGGTTTTACAATAGTGTCTTTATAACAGACTTCGCGTTATTTCAGGACTCGTTATAAGTGGACTCCACAGTAATGTGAACACTAGAATCGGGATCATATATTTAATTTATATTTTAAACTTTGGTACCATTATTATTATCATTGAACACGAAGTGTTTACAACAGTACAAAAATACAATACTTTCACAACCTATTATATAATTATTTCTCATCTCTGAAGATTTTAAAAAATAACTCTATGGCCATCAGAAAATACTGGCTACTAGTGCTGTGTTGAGTGTGCTTGAATGCTCGTTACTAAAGAGTGGCACTCTGCTCGTACCTCTCGAGCAGCACCGATACCACTCAGTACACTGCCACTAAACTTCAAGTTGTTCTGTATTGTCAGTGCAGAGGAGTTCCAGAGAGAGAGAGAGAGAGCGAGGTTCCAAAAGGGTCTCCCTCCCCTCCAGATGAAAGAAGTCAGTCACGACACCGGGAAAGAGCCTCTTTTTGAGCTGACATAAAAATTCCCTACATAAGTAATATTTGTGACATACTATTTGAAAAAATAAATATGGAATTGAAATGCAAAATAAATGGATAGGAAAAATAAATAAATGCAAAAAAACAAAATAAAACGCTCGCCCTGTCCTATAATATGAGTAGTGCCCCTTGACTAGAATGAGCATTAAAAAAACAAACCGTATTCAGAAGCATTCCTTGGCTTGAGTGCTCAACAAATAAACATCATATAGACAAAATCTGATAAGAATTTTTTTAATCAGCGACTCAAATTCTACAGCCTCACTGAACAGAATTTGAATTAGTGAAATATTTTTTAAAATCAGTAATAATGGGTTTTTTAAATCGAAGTGACTATTTCTCCGAACGTTCGGAGAAATAGTGCCGATCTTTATTTCTCCGAACGGTTTCCGGCTTCCGCTCTGGTCGTGATTGTTTGCCTATTTGCGAGAGTTCGGCGCCAACTTTCATTCCGTCATTCTGCGAGGTCTGGGAAGGAGCAAATCAAAGGTGGTATCTGTTCTCAGCTTCTCCTCCGGCCGTGTGCCCACTGGTTTAGCGAGGCGGGTACTGCCTGAGGCACCCGAGAGACGGAGAAATCTGACCCTCTTTTCTATTGAGTGGACGGTTATCGTCCATAAAAAAAAAAAAACAGAGCAAATTTTTGGGTTTAGATCTATTTCAATTTTCAAGAGCTAGATCTAGTCTAGAGATTTTTAGACGAGTGTAAAAACGTGAAAAAGAAAGGTTTCACAACAGAATGAAATCAAAACTAGAACAGCCCAGAAACAACTACAACAATTAACAAATAAGGGCGTGTGTCCACCTGTCCGAAGAAGATTGACCGTTTTAACCCTAAATGTGCGTAATTTGTTTTAAAAAGTACAGGATATTGCATGGAAATTATGGAATCACACACAGGGGGCCTGCCAGTGTCAGTACATGTAATTGGTTTTGGTGGAACGCTCTAACATAGCACATTTAAATCTATACAGGTATATATATTTAGAATCTAATGAAGGTAGGAACATCAAATTAAATGACGTTACACAATACCTTTTGTAGGAACATCAAATTAAATGACGTTACACTATACAACCCCCCCCCCCCTTTTCCCCAACAAAAAAAAAATTAATAGAAAAACAACACATCAGAACAATAACAAGAAAAAAAAATACACACCAACAAAATATAACACCACAAAGAGGGAAAAATAAACGAAAAATAAAAGAGGAACAGCAATACAAATCGTATGTAACTGTAACGTATTCAACAAACCAACGTGGTGACAACAAGTGAGAAAGAGACGAAGTGAAGCTAAGTGAACTTGCTTTCAAAAGTAAAGAGTTTCATTTTCTTTTCTTTTTTTTTGTGACTTTTTCGGGGACCAAAAAATCGAGCCACGATTGATTGGTCGCGGCCTCGACAAACGCAGATGCTAGCTCTATGTGTCGTTATCAATAACCCTCCATAGATCTAGATCTAGACAGCTCATGAGTGAACGCAACACATTAAGTTTAAGAGCAGCACCCTTCATAGGCCACACGTCATATCTGTAGCGTAGCGAAAAAATGTTTGGAACTGTAGCATTTCTTTTTATAAATACGGACATTTTTTGGACCGATTGAACCATATTGTATACGAACAATCTTTGGTAGGCCTATAATATAATTATAGATCTATATTTTATTTTTATTATCCGAAATATGCGGGAAAGGGTGTGATTTCAGAGTGTTCGGAGAAATAGTGCCCAGCTTTATTTTCCCGAACGTTCGGAGAAATAGTGCCGGCCTTTTTAAATACACAGATTTAAGTTATTGAGAAGCGTGTGCTCTCTGTGTTGTGTGTGCATGTGTGTTCAAGAAGCACGGTTATTCACATATTTTTGCTAATATTTTAACGTGAACAATGGATGGGGATGCCTTGATTTCTGCTCTACAACATGCAAACTGCAGCAAACGGTCTTCCGTGTATGGGATAACGAAGTGACTATTTGGATATAAGTCCGATTAGACAAAAATTATATTTGGACTCTGAATTGAGTCCAGCATGACGTCCATTCAGACTTCCGACCATTGTTCCTAAATATTTCCAGCATTTATGACACATTTTTTAATTACAATTATAATGATAACAATCGAGATGCGAGTATTAATATCCAGTTACTAATAATAATAATAATAAATAGCATTTGTATAGCGCATATCCCCGCTCAACAGCAGGCTCTATGCGCTTTAAACTATATTATTACCCCAGCAGACCATAGAACACTCCGAAACATTCTCAGCTTCCCGGGAAGCATACAGTGCAAGCAGCTGATTAAGCGCTCAAACACTTACAAACTGACAAGATCTTTCGCTGTCTATAGCCGGGTACCCATTCCCACCTGGGTGAAGTGAGGAAAATTCGTGTAAAGTGCCTTTCCCAAAGACACAACGTCGGGCCTCTGACGTGATTCGAACCCACGACCTTACGGTTGCGAGTCCGAGAGCCTAACCACTAGGCCACCGTCGCCACGATACTAGATCTATATAAACTGGCCCTCCCTGCATCATTAGTATGAACAGAAACCAAACTGAGTGGACCTTGCCGGGGGCAAAGTTAATTATGTCGATCAATGAGATTGTGCGTAGAAATCACGTACTCTCGACTTCTGGGGAAGAGGTGTTGGGAAGAGGCCACAGCTGTTGATTTCGTGCGATGTGATAAAAAAAAAATTACAGAAAAACTATAACACACAACAAATTGAAATCAAACATGTGGAAAGACAAATGGTGGTGAATGTAATGATGATGCTGTAGTCGTGGTGGAAAGACCCTGAGTTGTAGGGTAGTACAGTGTACTTAGACACTGCCATTGGGCAATGAGAGTGCAGTCTTTTGACTTTTGATACAATTACACAGTCCTAGTAGGTAATTCTAGTTCTAATTCTTGTTTTGCTTACGATGACAACACACACTCCGAAAACATCCATCCTAGTATTATCCTAGACTCTAGATAGATCTAGACAGTACTGTAGATCTAGAATCTAGATCTAGATCTAGATATCTAGTGGTCGACAAGCCGACAAGTTTACCCAATTATCATTAGATTATATTCATAACACAGAATCATATAGGTAACATCCAAACCTTTAGCTGGGTGGATGACAACACTAGATCTATATCTAGATCTAGACAGTCTAGGCTGAGTTTAAGACAAGCCTAGGGCCTAAGACGATTAAACAACACCAACTTCCAACACGCTTTTTCACATTGAAAACAATCATTAAATTGACCAGAGTAGTTGCCCTTGGAAGTCAATAATCCCCCATCAAAATCTCTCCCCTTGAGGGGTGGTTTTTGATACAGGCACTTTAAAAAAGTATTACTCGGAAAAGAAAAGACTACTTGCTGGATCAACTCAACAAAAGAAGGCTAGCCTATTGACTATTGGCCTGGGGGAGCCTGGGGGAGCCTGAGCAAAGCCTAGCCAGAGCAGGATACAAAACATTCATGTATTGAGTCCTTCTTAAAGTCAAAGACCTATATTCATATATTTGAACACATTTTCAGCAATAATTCCATAATCTAGACTAGATCTAGATATTTTTTTCCCCTCCCTCACTTGTGACTTTTGAACTTCCCTTCTCACTTCTCTTCTCAGTCATTGTGTTGTCCTCACTGTTTAGTTTGTTTACAAACATGGCAATGTACTGTTTCTGACAAGAGTTAAGTACCTGTTCTCGAAGACCTCGTGATTGGAATTTGATACGGTTGCCAGCCCGGGTTGCATCTTCTCATGACCCAGTTCTTCTTAGTACCTTCCGCTATGTTCATGGATTAGTGTTCGCAACAGACAACATATACAGTAGTGTCACCAGTGACAGTGCCTGTGTAGATGTCTATGGGATTGGAATTTAAACCCACCACAGGAGTCGGGTTTCGAGTTCGAGAAAAGTAGGCTAAAACAAGCTTACAAGCTAAAGGAAGTGTGCAGGCAGTTTTGAATAGGTTAATTCGAGATTTTTCCTTTTAAATTAAATTCCAATAATCTAGAGAAAATTCTTCGTGTAAAAGAATCTCTACCCAGTACCCTGTAAAGTGAGTGCCAGCCAGAGTATTTTTTTCTTCTTATTTTGGGACAGACCAGGCTGTAGAAGGTCCCGTCGGTCTGGACGATCTAGATCTAATTGATCTATAGAGACAAAAGTATCATGAGTAGTATGCTTTCAAGATTAGTTGGATCTTTCAAACGCAGTGCACCACCCTCAAATCGTCACAGAAGGTCTCTTGATCCGGAGGATGATGATGATGATGATGAGACGTCCTGGATACCTCATGATCATGATTTTGCTGAGAGGAATGTCTACTCAAGACCAGAGTTCCTTTCTATGTCACTTGAGGAAGAAGACATTTCCTGTGATCATGCCATCAGACCTGTGATTCGGCCAAATGACAGAGACAGAATACCTCTTGGAGCAGGTTATGCAGAGTAAGCGTGTTTTCTAAATGTTCTCCTTTAAATTTAAAGTAAAGACGTCAGTAAAATGCATCTCTGTTGTTGGGCATTCTGTCAATTAGCGTAGAATTGCACACAACGCAATTTTGTGGATCCATAGAATGCGCAACAATCCATCTTTTAAAATCGAACCTCAAAAAAAGAAAGAATTGAATTTATATTTCATATAAATTATTTTTAAAAAATAACAAATGTTATATTATTAATGGTCCAATGAACAAAAAAATGGAAACAAATATAAACTAAAGTGGGGAAATGAAACTATATGATATATGTCTTTTTTTGCTTCAACATTCACTTACACCCCCCCCCCCCCTTTTTTTTTGTGTAAGTAAGTGTTTTACAGTACTCACAACTGCATTTATAAGCTCATGTCAAATGAGCGCTCCAGACACATTAAATATTTTCAGTTAGCAGGAAATTTTGAATTTTGCCCAGGTGGTTACCTTTTTGTTTTTCAAGTGTTATAATACACTTGCAAACAGGAAATATTGGAAAATTATGTTGTTGTAATGCTATCAAGCGAAAAAAAATTATCTGCTCTTTAAATTTTAAGGCAACCTATTATTTGTCTTCAGGTGCATAAATGGTGGTAAGTCTGCAAAAAATGAAGATCAAGCTGCCGTTGGTAACTTCTTTCTGCCACATGAGCCCAATGGTCTTACTGATGATTCCAGAAAGGTACGAGTTTGTCTACGTTCTTCTAGTTTCAAAATAAAGATTTTGTGTGTGAATTAGATCTAGTAAATCCGTAGAATGTCATTCCATTATCTATCATTATGTCTGTTTTATAACATGAGTTGGGAGACTGGATGGAACTTTTTGCTTTCTTAGTCAAGTGGAATGGTGGACCTTTACCCTGGTCATTTTCTCAAAAGTGCCATAGTAAAACATTTTCTTATATTATAGAATTATCCGACCCTTGTATAAAGTCATTGTACTTCATGAAAAGTGCCATCAATAGATAGTAGAGCAATTTCTTTATTGAAATTCCCTATTTCATGTGAAGTAGAGCATTACTTTAACATGGAAAGTCAGGCTCAATTTTTTTCTTTTGTACCTTTCTCCTTAGATGGATGTTATCGAGGTGCAGTACTTTGCTGTCTTTGATGGTCATGCTGGTCCCGGGGCTGCTCTCATGGCAGCTGATCAGCTCGTCAATCACTTGCAGGTGACAACTTAATTGATCCCTGATTAGAAATATTGATTTCACAATGACTTTGTTAACTCCTTTACCTCCAGCAAGCTGGTTCCGGTGGCTCACAGTCAAAAACGCTGTGCCGGTGAATTGCTGGCCGGGGCTTGGGCGCATTTCTTTACGACGGCTACGTCATCAAATTACTTTTTGGCTAATGCTGAAAGCAGGTCTCTTTTACCAGGAGTTCATTCATTAGATAAAGAACTATTGAAATATAAGGTTCACTTGTTTCGAATTAGTGATGTGTATGTCAATTTTTGATTTCTTACCAAAAGAGGGCCCCGCATAGTGGGTTTGCCCCCCTCTGAGAGAAATAGTTAAAATGTGCTTTGTCTCTGGTAGTTATGGTGCTTCTCCCTTTCGAACCTAGACTAAAGTGGTTACTAACGCCATCTGTGGTTTGGGGATTAGGAGCTTCACCATCCACACAGAAGACCTGAGTTTGATTCCTGTGTGGGGATCTTTGAACAAACTGTCCAAGAAAGAGAAAATGTACTTAAAACTCTTGAAAGCAACTCTATGACAGGAAACATAAACTACCTTTAAAAGCCTCAGCTAAGGTCAAACAGACAAATCTCTTGGCCAAAAGAAACAAATGGAGCACCACAGTTGCAGACCTCGACCTACTTAGAAATGGAGCCAAAGCATGGTTTCTTCTCTCCAACTTGTGGACAGGCAGTTTTCATGCAAATACCATATCTGGAACCTGAAGACTAAGGCCAACAAGAGACTAAACCTTCTCAGATGACTGGCTAGCACCTCATGGGGAGCAGACAAGGATGCTCTCAGACAGCAATGTTGGCTATGTACACTCTGCCATGGAATACAACTGAACCCTACAGATAATCTGCAGCAAACCAACTCAAAGGTCTCTTGACAACGAGTTGTACGATTTTCTTCAGGAGCTTTGAGATCCACTCCGGCTGCAGCTTGCGAAATCCACACAAACCTGGAACCTTTGGACCTGCGGAGAGAAGCAGCAGTTGTGGAGATGAGTAAGCTCTACAAGAAACTAGACAAAAACCACCCAAACTGAAAGATCATTGAACAGAGACAACCAAAGAAAAGAATCCATGGAAGATCAATACTCGACACAACCACCGAATTAGTAGAAAAACACCACCTTCCATGTAACAGAGAAATGCTGAAACCCTAAAGACCAGAACCCCCCCAAACACCATCATCAAGAACTCCAACATCAAAACTTCCCTCATTAAGGAGACAGTGAAAAAGGAATGTGACCCAGTAGAACTGAAGACCACAGCTCTCAAAACAAGTGACTCCTACCGTAGTAATTCCATCCATATTTACACTGATGAGTCAGCCTTCAAGAGAACTATTAACGCAGGCTTTAGAGCAAAAGTAGAACTTCCTGACAAGATGTGTGAAGAACTATTTGATGCCTGTGGAACTTGTAAAAATTATGAAACTGAGGCCATCGCCATTGAAGTAACAATCCTCCACCTGACTAACATTTTCATTATATTATATCCAGACAAAATCAAGGACACTGTAATTGTCACAGACTGAAAATCGGTACTTTAACCTTTGGAAAACATGAATTTCGAAAGCCCAGCCTGCCTATCTGTGGCTCAAACAATTCACACCTTCATGCAGACTTATGCCATCGACCTGACTTTACAGTGGATACCTGGCCACAGCAACATCCTTGGAAAGGACAGAGCAGACACCCTTGCTGATAAGGGAGCATCACAAACTCAACGATAAACCCCAGTATCACAACAGACAGTCAAGAACATCATCCATGGACTTCCGGTTTGACTTGGCCTTTGGCCGGTCGTGTGTTGTTTCGCTCTGAGGTTTTCGGTCATTTACTTGTGTTTTCCTGTACGGATTTCTGTGCTTTTTTTAATGTTTATTGTTTATTCGTGTTTTTTAAGGCTGCTTAAGTTGGAGTAGGTATTTCCCTCATTTGACTGAGGTTTTGATGCTTTTTGAGCCTTTTTGTGCTTCTTTGGTATCAGAGTGAGTTTTTAGGTCTGTCTTTTTTTTCTTTCTCTTTTTTATTTAGCTCATTTTGGGGGACAGTTTCCCCGAGTGAGTTCACGCATCTTTTCTTGTGTTTGTCGCGTCCCGTGCTGCATATTCTTATTTTCTTTCCAAGATTTTCGTGGGTTTTTTTTTTAATTCGTGTTCCCTTGTACAGTCCATTGTGGGGTTGTTTTCGTATTTTTCTCTTTTCTTTTTCTTCTCTTTTTCCCTTGTACATATGCATGTGTAGTTCAGGTCCTGCTTTTGGCTTAATAAAGTATCTTTTCCGTTTAATCCAGGTTGATACGGCTTTTTTGTCGTAGTAAAGCGGTGTTTTGTGGATTTTCCTTGTTTTGTTTTGTTTTGGGTTTTTTCTTTTCTTTAACGGTTTTAGCTGGGGGGGGGGGGGTTATGTTTGTTTGATTGCTCTTATGGTTTCCTGAAATCTAGTTAGTTTGTTGTTGGTGGTGGTTTTGTGTTTTATTTTACTGGGTTTTTTAAATTGTTTTTTTATTCCGTCAGCGGGGAACAGTGGCTGAATGGTTGGGCATTGGGCAAAACTGGAAGAGCTGTATTTGCACATGACTGCTCCCAACTCAAAAGATGCGCTAAATTCCCTGAGTAGAAGAGAACAAGTCACTATCTTTCGCCTGCAAACACAACTCATCCCATTGAATTCCTACCTGAATAGGATTTGCAAGGATACCCCACCTTACTGCCAGCTGTGTGACTGCCAGGATGAAACAGTACCACACCACCTATTTTCCTGCTGTGCACTTAGGGACCTGCGTAGCACCTACCTACTCGCCTCCCCAGATATCGGAAATACTTTATACAGTGACAAAACACAACTGATAAAAACCTGTAAATTCTTTACCATATCGATAGGCCAAAGGGATAGAACCGAGATGGCTACTGGATTGGAAGTAGAGTAAAGTAGGTGTGGGGGTCTTGTTTACCTAGCATCTCGGTCTTTCAGCCGGGATGTTGTATCCCTCTCAGCTCGGGTTGGCCTTGACAGGCAGGGTAAAAACTTACCTCGTAAATGATTTAAACTGTGTGTTGATGGGGATGTGTAAAAAAAAACAAACGGTAGTGACTTTTCGATATAAGATATTCAACTCAGTTCTGGTGTAGAGCTGACTTATAATGGTTTTAAGAGTAACAGTTCAGTACAAATTAATGTTGTTTTATTAAATGAGTTTAAAAAGCGGGGCTTCCAAATGAAAGTCTGTCTCTGATAATTATGATTGAATGGAGAGATGGAGAGACACTTTGAACAGTTTTGTTTTGTAGACAGATACAAACCCAAATTACCCTCACTCTGATGTTGATATGCTAATATTAAGCTCTCATCATCACACTTTTGTCAGGAGTAATGTCAATTGGCTTTTTTTTGTGTAAAGGTGATAAAAATTGTGCCAATGTGCAGTTTTTCGAAGTGCTTTTGCTTAAAGGGCTTGTCAAAATTATTGAACTCCATTTGAAAATTGACTTTCACAGTATTAACAAGAATCATATGAGATTTTGATCGTCTCCGAGAGAGATTTATGCATATTACTCATTTCATGTAGTAAGACATATTAGGTTTTAAAATAGAGTTATCTTAAGCCTGAGTTTGCTGTCGGCTTGTGTGTCCAATGTAAAACAGGAAGGGAATTAGGATGGGCTGATAGCCCCGTATTTGTCTGGCCATATCTTGTGTTTCGTGGCTAGTGGGTCTAGGTTAAGGTATCAGGAAGGCAAAATCAGAATCAGGGCCATAGTTTGCTTTCACTGTTTTAAACCTTTTTTCAAATTGCCACAATCCTCCCCCACCCCCCACCCCCCCCCCCCCCCGTTTTCCCCCTTGTCTGTTACTCCATATAAGCATACTAATATTTGTATCTTTGCTCTCTCCCACACACAAACACACACACACACACGCGCATTCACCCACACACACACGCACTCGCATACATATACTCACTCATCAACTCGCATGCAAGCACAACTCTTCATAGTTGCCTAAGATCTACCATCATAACATTTTCTGACTTTTCAATATAGAAAGACAGGTTTTTCAGCCCAGAAATGTAGGTTCACGATGAATATTCTTGGTATTGGTGAGCCCATTTTGAAAAGAGCAGTCAGTGCAAACAGTTCTGAGTGTCTTATTTTGGTTGTGATTACAGGAAAAACTTGTTGATGTCCAAGAAGACCTGTTCAACCTGAGAATTCGAGAGTCTTACGCATGTGCTTATGTTCGTGACCCCAGTCTGGTCATCACTGTTGACAGCTTAGTGAGAGGGGCTCTCGAGGCGGCCTTTGTTGCTTTTGTGAGTGCTTTGGATGTTTCTTGTTTTTACGGATTCACAGAAACCCGTATGTTATGTTTGTGTATTTTTTCGATTATGTTTGTATAAATCTATGAATATTGGGCCTACAACTGTGATTATAGTGTTTATATGTCATTATGATATTTTAATATCATGATTTTGATCCTGTTTGGGCATAGATTTAAAAAATCCTCCTTCGTACTACTCTGAGTGAAGGCACTGCTTACAATCTCTTCTTGCACAATCAGCACAGAGTTGTGTAAAATGAGCACCAAATAATGTTTTGACTCGGCTGGTGTTTAATTTTCCTTACACAATACAGAGTCATTCTTGTTACTTTGTCGATGATTGCTTGATTGGTGAGTGCTCCGGTGTGGTTTGCTCCTTCTTTCCTGTCAAACATCTATTATCTCTATAGTCTTTGTCTCTCCTGCATCTTCTCTATGTAACTCACTAGTATCGTTGTAAATCTTTGGCACTTATTAAACTTAGGTCTTCATTCCCTGAACAATACTTAATGGGATGTGATTTAAAGTAATTTGATGGTTATCATGTCATGTGTTCAGGATATTAGGTGCTTCAGTTTCAGCTTCAAAACCGCTTATGGATAATACAAAATACAAATCAAAGAATAACCGGTGTTCACCAGTCACTACCCTAAAATTACAAATTTTTATGGGACATTTTGGGTTGTTTTGAGTTACTAAGACCTGGAGGTCAGAAACCGAATGTTCTATCTGCTCTATCAAAAAATCGTAAGATTTTTCAGAGTCGTAATCAAGATATTCAAAGAATTGCATTAGAAAAAGCTTGACATTATGTGAAACTCAAAATTGTTTTGCTTCAAATAAGAATTTCTCAAAACTAGATACTGAGCAGATAGAACTTGGTAATTCTAAGGTAGCGCAGTAACCTTACTCTATCACTACAGCTTGTACAACGGAATGTAGGGAATACCCTCCCCCGGGGCAGTGCCACTGATTGTAGTGTCTTTAGACCATTCCCAAAGGGGGGACATTTCTCGTTCAAGCACAGTAGAATTGTAAATGGGCTGATTCATGTCACGCTCATAACTGTGCCTGATCTGCAACAGGGAACTGCTGCTTTTTCTTTCCTAATCCTTACTATTGTCATTTTTCCTCTATTTTTTTTGTATGTTTGTCACTCTTTTGTGACCTGCTAAGTCTGGGGTGCCTTGATAGTTGAAGCAGACTTTGTGCTGTTGAAGCTAGAGAGGTGAGCAGAGTAAGTCTGATTCCCTGTAAAGACTTCTGTGTTGACATCCACCTCTTGGCGCTCATGTATGACTTTATGCAGTTGCGAGCGCCGTAAAACCCTCTACTATAATAAAATAATAAAAATAAGGGAATGCCCAAAATAGCACTGCAGTAGTTAGAACAATTGATTTTTAGATTCATGTATATGAGTATTTCCTATTTATTACCCTACTCAAAAAGTTGCTAAAAAATGCTGACCTAACAAAGGCAGTTTTAAATGTTGTCCCAAGACTGAACAAATATTTTCTAGATGAATACAGATTGAGAATCATGTTTTTCCTTTCTTTCTTTCTTTACAGAGAGTCTTATTATAATTGATTAATTATCTCTTTTCCTTTCTTTTTCAGGACGAGCAAATCGCTCAAGAACGTTTATCATTTAAAATCTCTGGAGGCTGCACAGCTTTGGTTGCCTTGGTCATGTTGGACAAGGTGTATGTGGCACACGCAGGGGATGGAAGGTGGGCCCTTTTGCAAATTTTGTTTTATGAAAATACGTGCACATGCAGATTGCCCCTCACATACAGTCGAACCAGTTCTAATGCCCACGGGTCTAAGACAAACACCTGTTCAAGCAACCGCTTCTGTGGCATTAGTATAGGGCAAATTCCTGTTCAACAGCAAGCTCTATAATGCTCTTTACAATCTATATTACTACCCCAGCAGACCTGGCAGCATTCTGAAACAATCTCAATGCGCCTAGAAGCATACAGTGAAAGCTGCTATTTACAGGCGCTAAAACACTAACATATTTACAAGATCTTTCGCTGTACAGTGGGGTAAAATTGCTATTTTTCCCATGTAGGGCTGGGCTCTTCCAGGAATGCTAAGATTTAGGGTTGGTTACTAAGAGGGTTAATGGTAGTGAAAACTGCTTCCACAACTCAGGGGACAGTGCATGACACATGCATAGATCATGTCTTCCCTCTGCAAAGTACGACACTGCCCTAAGCTGACAAAATACTCTTTTTCATTTTTGGCATCCAATTTTTTTTTATTCGTTAAGTCGATAGCTTGATCAGTTTGTGAAAAGATCAAAGTGAAACTGTGGCTAGTTTTTTAATAAATTTGAATTCAAATTTTTTAAGAACGCTTTTTTAAAATGGTTACACTGACAAAACGCATTTTTATCTCAAAACTGCTGTGAATAAGAAAAAGGCGTTTTGTCAGCGTCCGGCAGACCAACTCTCTGGTACACCTTATTTCTCGCCAAAGTAATGAAATTGTCAGAGGAATTGCTTGTAAGCCTATAATAATAATTGTCTGGATAAAGTACACCGATTACTATTTCCCCTGAATCTTTATACTGTGATGGCTGCCAGCCTCCCTGCCCGGGTATTCGGCTCGCCTGCACGGTTGCCATAATGAGAGTGCATTTCTCTAATGAGAGTGTGTCATACTCACACTTTGGAAAAATCAGTGTGGCCAAATTTTATTTCACTTTCTTATCATAATTTCCAGGGACAGGATTTTGGTAAAATTTGACATTAGGCTTTCCTGTCGCTTGGACTTTTTTCGACTGCTTTTCGCTGGTGGTTTCAGGGCACCACTGGTAGATCAGATTTCTTTTCCTGCTGACAGATGTTATTGTTTGTCTATCTTCACTTTCCATAGACTGATTCACCATTGGGCATTAATGTTCTCTTTACTGGAATGTATCAGGTTGTTTTTTTTTCTTGTTTTTTTTTTTTTAAATAACAGGGCTGTTGCATTTATGGGGAATGAGGTAATCACTATGGCAACGGAGTTTACCCCAGAGACAGATGGAGAAAGGATACAGTATTTGGTAACTATATCATTGATAAATTCGTTGTTTTGTGCAGAAAGCTCAAGTTTTTCTGAATGGAATTTAATACAATTGAAGGGGGACATGTTGCACCTCACCGTCTTGTCACAGTTAAGTACTGCCTTCTTATAGAGGTGTTGTGTTTGATTGTACATGAAAGTGAAATTTAACTTGTGTGCCTCTGTGCTCGCCATTGTATCTTCCTTTTACAGATGTATATGTGAAAGATTTATTTTTCTCTTTGTTAGGGAGTAAGGAATAGGTCTCAAATGACTTGTCATAAATGCAATTCCTCCTACTCATAGAAGGATAAAAATGGGTGGCTGAGACTTTGACCTTTCAGATGAACTTTTCTGTATCTCGTATCGAATATTAATGAAAGGAACTAAAATATTGTTAAAATAATATTTATATTAACGTTTTAAAATATCACTTTTGTATCAAGTATCTATGATTGTAATATGAATATTGTAAAAATAATACAATTTTGAATGGTAAGGGTAGTCAAATGCTTATTCTTTGAGATGGCCTATTCTGTGTATGATTACAATTTGTTATAATAATGATAGCAATAATAGTTTACTGCAAATATTATACAACACGTTTTAAATGAAAGGCGTTATGCTCAGACCATTGCAAACTTACTCATGAACTGCTCTCCATGTTTGCCACTTTTTCATCAGGCTCACGTGAACCCAGCTCTGACTCACAACTTCTTCAGTGATAATCATTTTCTTCGGCCGCTGGGCAAGAAAGATATCGGCACCAGAGTCTTATGTAGGGGGCCTCAAAGATCTGGATGGTTTGAGTTTTTGCTTTCTTCAGTTTTTTTTGGTGTAGTTTCTCTGTTGTCTTTGCATAGAATGTTTCAATGCTTACTTTGTGTAGTTGTAGTTTATTGTGAGTGGTGGGTTTTTTATTTCTTTTTCTGATGATTCTTTCTCTTTAGTTTGTCAATGTTGTGAGTATTTTAATCTGTTTGAGCTTTTTAGTTGTATGTATATAGTATATTTGCACACATATGTTTTCCTTTCTTTGTGGTATGGTATCCGTGATCGCATATTTAAAATTCTCCCAGGGCTGCCTATTTCTACCAATTGTTTTGGTAGTTACCGATTTTGGACCTGTTCTATTGCCATTATGATGAAAGTGCCTAAGCTACTGCATTTACAATAGATGCCGAGATTTTTAAAATTTACTGCATAGGCCCGTTCTCTGTCATATCTACCCATAGCTGAAGGGTCTTTTGTTACATGTCTTATGCCTTTGCTAGTGACTCATAACTGTGGCAATTGTTCCATACCAAAGTTCACAGTTGAAAACAAAGCGGCAGAGCTGGGGCTTTATAACAGGGCAAATTGCCAGATCCTGTTTAAATACAAGGGTGATTAAAAATGGATCTGTGATTTAGCTTTTATTAAAATCAATAACTAAGTCCATAATAAAGTGATTTCCAGATTTCAGTGGTGCTAGGTCCTGGGCTCCCTCATTCCTTCCAACTCCGACATTCGGCACATGCTCTCTGCTACTTTCACTGTACTTCTACCTTGAGGCCCATCTAATCTATGAACTTTTTTCCTTCAATTAGTTGTTGTCTCGCACCGTTTATAGAATCTGTAAATGCTTAAGCTCAGACATAATTTTGTTAGTTGAGAATCCACTGCAGCAGATATTTCTAGGTGAAGATCAGCCTGATTAACCATCTCTGCAACCCCCTCCCCCCCCCCCTCCCGTGATATGGGGCCATGATTACATCATGATGGCTCATAAATTGGTTCAGAAGTCTGTATGACAGTCACGCTGCATTCAAATCCACATTCAATACTGACTGATAGGTGCCTTGAACAACAGTCCATAAATGGTTGGGTTTTTTTTAAACACACTTTTCGTTTCATCCACACTGTTAACCCAAACATGCACAGGCAGGAGCACACACGCATGCACACACACACACTCACACAAAAAACTAACAACACACATGCACACACAAAAGCAAACAAACAACCCCCCCCCCCCCCCCCCCCACACACACACACACACACACTCACTCACCACATACAACTCACACACTACACACACTCACACACAAACTTGTGTGTGATTGGCGGGTGCTCTGGTGTGGTTTGCTTCTTCTTTCTTATCAAACATCTATCATCTTTATCTCCCCTTCTTCTTTTTTATGTTTGTTACTCTCTTGTAACACCTCTTCTGGCGCTCATATTATTACCTTATGCAGTTGCGAGCACTGTAAAACCTCTACTAAAACTAAAAACATGTTTTTAGAATGAAGTTAGTCTTAATATTATTAGAAGCAAGTTTGGCTCGATGATTACTAGTTATAGGGGAGTAATGTTCAGTTTTTTGTTCGTTTTTTTGGGGTTTTTTTTTCATTCTTCACCTTTTTACTGCTTGATTTTTGGCCAAACTGAATCTACCTGAAAGGGCAAATTTGAGGTAGGCAGCCTTGTTCTTTGTAGAGTTAAATTATTCACTTAACACAACTGTATTGTAGTTGTCCTTATTGTATAATGCATGCTGACAGCTCACTACCTTAGAATGACAAAGTTCTATCTGACATTTTTGACGTTTAGAGTTTCTGATACCTTGAAGTTAGAAACCAAATGAGGGCGTGAGATGCTAAACCCACTAAGCGACTTTTTGGAAAAAATTGAGATTTTTTTGGCTTATAAATGCACATTGGTACCGGCTATCTGATACACAAAGAGTTTTCAACCAAAACCAAACACATACTTCATAAAAGCCACCAAAAAAAATCTCCTTTTTACATATGTTCATGCTTATAGCAGATTTTTTAAAAGCAGATTTTCTCAAAAGTGCTAAAATGGATGTAGCGGGCTTTGCATCTCAGCTCCTCAAATGTTCTATCTGCTCCGTCAAAATCTTAAGATTGTTCGGATTCGTCACCAAGATATTCAAAGAATTGGATTTGAAAAGACTTGACATGTTGTGAAACCTAAAATCTTTGATGTCGTATTTTTCAAAACAATGTACTGAGCAGATTGAACTTTGTAATTTTAAGGTAGTGAGCTGTTGTTTTATTTTGTAGTGTGGTAATCCTTATTTTAGTTTGTCAGGAACATTTGCTGCAAATTTGCTGTACATGGAATTCCAAAGTTTTGATCCTGAATGTGATGTTTTGGTAATTTTAGTTTTGTGGGTCAGTGTACTTTAGTCCATGAAGAAAAATAATCTGAATTGTTAAAAATGTTTCTTTGAAATAATCCTATTTAATCAAAACATTTGAAACTTTGCGATTTATTTTACCTGCAGTTTTAAGTGTTTGGCCTTTTTATAAACATTTTTAATGAACATCCTGCCTTTACACTCATACTCATACTCCGTATTTTATACAGAAGATTTGCAGCTCACTGTCTTCTTGCATACCTTTGTTTGAATGCTTTGAAAATGATACTTATGATGTTTGCTACTATGCTGCGGAAGTAAAATGAAAAGGTGCCCACTGAAAAAGTTGGTCTACAGAGTCTTTGCTTGACATCACACTTGTGAGAAATTAAAAACTTCCAGTGGAAATGTACACTTACTGGTCTGCATCATGCAGAGCTTCACTGTGTAAGGACATAGCACAGTGACCATTCTTCCAAAAACTGTTGACACAACACCACAAGCTTAAACCACAGGTGGTTGGAGGGCACCACTGGTAGGTCCTACTTCTTTACTTCCCTCTGTTGTTTCTCTCCGGCATTGCTCTGTTTCACTTTTTGACCATTATTGTTTCAATGTGTTTCTCTTCACTCAAACAAAACAAAACAAGCTAAAACCGTACAAGAATTTAGAGGCCTTTGTAACATTTGATGAGGTTTGTATGTGGTGTGTAGCTGAAATCAAGCAAGGCTAATACTTTTATTGTAGGCACTATAAAGAAGTCACGGAAAGAGATGTGTTCTGTCCCCCTTTGGTTGCTGGAACAGGGAAATGGGTAAGCAGGTCTCATTTTTCCTCTCATCGCACATTTCCTCATGGTCTTGCCACTGTAACAAATAGTTCCAGAATTTGGAGAGACCTTTTAGCGTAGTTTATATTCACTTCTTAGTTCGCGATGTTTACGGTTGCTTTAGATTTTGGTCCACAGGAGAACAGTGTTAGTGGTAAATTCTGAAACTAAAGTTTGTTAACAGGTGGTTCCTGTAATAAAGTTCTTATATTTTTATTACTTAGGTACAAGAAAAGTGGGTGGTTAGCTAGTGCTCTTTCCTATTATTCATCTATCATCTGTATCTCCCCTTCTCCTTTTCTTTGTGTGATACTCTCCAGTATCCCTTATAATCTTTGTCACTTATGTAACATAATTATGTTGCAAGTGCAGTAAGTTTCTTACGAAAACTTAAACTAAGAGTTACAATAATGTCAAATATACGTTATTGTTCCTTCATTTGAAGATATTAATTGTCTGTTTTCTCCAGCTTCTTTGGCACAAAATATTACTAGTGTCACTTCACATTCTTTAGCTTTGTTCTGAAGCTTGAGCATCCTGCTGCTGTTTTTATTATACAAAATGACTACTCACTGTGTTGCATGCTGTGTGCATTATATTATGTTGAGGTCATGTGTTGTCCGTGAATAACCATAGCTTTTTATTTTGCTCTGAGATGTAAGATGATCCAAGCTCAAATAATTTCTCGGGGGTTTGAGCCTCGGTGTAGTGTTGTGTCCTTGTGAAAAGCACTTTACATGTATTTCCCTTTTGGCTCAGTCCTTTCGGAGATGTATTTTAAACTTGGAAGTCCAGCTTCTTTAATAAACTAATAGTGTTGGTAGGGGCATTAAACTTATACAACTTTCACCAATTAAAAAAAAAAAATTATTTCCATTGTCACCTGCTTTAATTATTGGGACTTTCACAGTAGTACAAGGCAAGGAGAGGTGGGATTGTGTGAAGCTGTTGATTTTTTAATTTGAACTTTCTTGTTTTAATGTATTCTTTATATGTGATTTATATATGTGTACATTCAAAGTCATCTTGATAGTTAACACTCCTGCACCATTTATGACCAGAAGCTCTCGAGTGTTTCCCTGAATTGTTTTGCAGTTCTTTCTCGTAGGGCAGTTTTCATTACCTTTGATAATAACTGAAAAACAAATAGGTTTTGAACGGGCAAAGTCCAGTTCAGTTCAGCTCATCTTAGTACCAAACTAGGGATGTAAGTGAATCTACACCAGTCCATCCAAGATGACCTCCTATCTTTGTGGAGAAAAGAAGCCATTCCAGACAAGTGGTCCTCTTGGGCAGTGCCATTATGATATATATATAGAGAGAGAAAATGCAAAGGAGGAAATGGAGCGTGATTATTTTTACATATGATTGTTTTGGACAGGTGGTTGTTAGAACAGGTGCTACTGTACTTATAGATAGCTGTTGTATATCCGAGATGAATTTTTATAAAGTTAAATATTTCTTTTGATCATATCTATAATATACATTTTTGTAGATACTTTCAATTTAGACTATCAATGACTTTTAGGTGTACAGAATATAAAAGAAAAATAAAAGCCCTTTGATAAAGCCGAAAGACTTTTGTAAACTTAAGTGGTTGAATATATAATTTATTTCTTTTACCAGTCTTGCTTTAATCTTAAAGGGACTTTTATTTTTCCTATCCCTTTGCTTTCATATTGCCCCAAATGTTTTTGTCACGTCGTAGGCCCGTCTCATGGGGATTCTTGGTGTGACCCGTGGATTTGGAGACCATAGCCTGGTCGTTCCAGGTTCAAGAATTCAAGTAAAGCCTTTCCTGACACCAGTACCGGAGGTCAGTCTATGAATACATGTGTGTCATGATGTGGTCAAATCGGGTGCTCTTCTACCTTTGGGCATGCGGACTATTGGTATTATCTTAAAAGCTTGTTTGTCTATTTTTCGACTAAAAGAATACCCATCTATCTTGAATAAAAGTTGAGATATAGCCTGTTAAAGGAGGTTGGGTCATCTGGTTTTAGAGGTAAAATTAGCCAGAAAATGGCACCCAAAGTTTGGTGACTTCCATAGGTTGAGAGTCTTTGGGAAAAGCAGATTTATATCTATTTTGTGCCTTTGAACAATGTTTATTGGTAAAAGCCACACAAAAATCTGTTTTTAAATGGACATAAAAGGGGTTGAGCCCTATAAAAGTAAAAGAAAATTTGATAACAATTGCTAAATGTGCGGGAAAATGCTCGGTTATTTGATTTCATTATTTTGACGAGCCCCTGATTTCACCAAGATGCCTCACATATATAATATTTTTATGGTTGCAAAATGTGTTTTTCTGGTGCTCATTTCTGTGAAAGGGATGAATATTGTGAATCCTTTTTGAAAGCTGAATTTGAAGCGAAGGTCATTGCATGTAGTTTTGTATACCTTCTGATCAAAGATTCCCAAAACCTTTTCAGTGCCCTTTTGTTTTCCACCTCATTTGTCGACAGGAAATTACAAAAAACTTGGTAGGTGCTCAAAAAGTTATTAGTTACTTACATTTATTTCTGTCTCTTCAAATTACCATGTAGCTATTTGTGGATCGATGAACTGAGGACTTGAGCAAAGTTTCTTTCTTAAAGGAATAGTTTTATGGCGGGTAAAATTGAGCTTCAGACCAACAATTTTAATGCTGGTGGTTGGCAGGTGCTCTGGTGTGGTTTGCTCCTTCTTTTCCATCAAATATCTATTGTTCTCATCTCTCCTCCTTTTTTGTATTTATTACTCTTTTTTGACACCTCTAATCTTCGGCACATATATGACCTAATTATGTTGCAAGTGCGATAAAACGCTTACTACGAGAACAATCTTAATATTGTCAGATCTTTGTCTTAACCACTGAGCTATTAAATCCTCGTTGCTTTATAAGATCCATGCTCAGTGTTAAATAGTAGATTTTGGTTTTCTCCTTTTTTTAAGCTTTGTTTGGGGAGTGACCCCAATAACTTTAGTACTGAGTGTGAGCATTCTTGCATTGTAAAACTATTGTAAACCATTTAATGCCTCCATTGACCCAACTGATGTTGTGGATGGTTGGATGACGCCACTGTAGGTCCTACTTTTTTCCTTTCCTTGTTGTTTCTGTCTGTCTGTCTTACTTTTCCCCAGCACTAAATTATCATATTGTGTCAATGTGCTTCTTTTTACTCAAATAAACCATCTAAAAGGCTTGCAGAGTTGCTGTCTGTCAGAGCTAATCCAGGCTGAATGGAGTACAGCATCCCAGAGGAAGGGGTGGGAATTGACCTCAATGTCTTCTGCATGCAAGATGGAGAACTTGACAATAAGTAAAAGCACCATCGATGATAACACAAAGAGAAAAACTGAGCTGATCAAGAAGACAACTGGAAGGAATGGGGTACTATGAAGGTCAATGTCTGCTCCAAACCTGACGCTAAAAGAAGAAGAAGAAAATGATAATGGTCTACTCTTTGAATTGCTTTCGTATTGCAATTCCACAGCAGTTAAGATTCTGGTATTGCCAACCACGAGGATGTTGTTTTCACTTTTATAAACTTGTCTTTTTGTTGTCTTGATAGGCACTGTGAGAATTTTTGCAGTTCTGAATTGCTCTATACAGTATAACACGGATAGGTTGAACACAGACGACTCAAGTTCACACATCCATCAAACTGTGCCTGCGGTCCCTTTTTTTTTTCTTCTTTATCTTTGTAAGATATCCCTCGAATTATGGATCTCCCGAACTACCGAGGCCAGTCCCGACGAATTCAAGCTATCCGTGTTATACTGTACTTCACGTTTTCGTGTTCTTTTAGGTGCGGGTTTTGAATCTGAAGGACAAGACTGTGACCGAAGATGACATCCTCATCATGGGCTGTGATGGCTTGTGGGACATGCTGCGGACCGAGCAGGTCGGGGCCACTGTGAAACAGTCACTAGCTAAGAGCAAGGAAGACAAGAATCCTGATAGGTGAGACATTTCATTAACACATGACACCCTAAGGGCCTGGACGGGAAGTCCGTTGTTAGATCCTAAGCAAGGGGAAAGAACCCACCTCCCGTGAATACAAGCGTTAAAAAAACACATTTTTAAAATACTAAACAAATTCCTAAAATCCTGAAAAAATAAAAGTTAAAAAGAAAACTGAATGTAGTTTCAGAAAAATATGACTTTATGTATGCACAAACTGTTGGAAATGTTCTAACTTTAGTTCAATCGGGGTGTCCGACCCGCCACTCTCACTCTCAGCCTCGCGGTCGGGCCCTAGATCTAAATTCTAGATTTTCTACGTCTGATCAATCTGAATAGCCCCAAACTCTTGCTACAACGTTTTCATCAAAATCTGAGCCATCTGATTTGTCACATGCTTGTTTATGCTGAAATCCATTGTTATTACCGTTTTCGAACTCAATTGTGTCGCTTTTCAACAAGTCGAGACACTTTCGAAGTGTCGGTAACGCGATCGCACTTCGATCAGCTCTAATACTAAAACTACTGGCCCAAAAAATTTCGCTTCGGTATCAAACGAAAGAAGAAACTTTTTGCTATGACTATGCAAATCAAAATCTCGGCCCCAGTGTCTCGCCAAGGCGAGACTTTGTTTCTAAAGACGCTGGGTCGGCGCGGGCAGTTCCGGGCGAGTCACGGTGGAGTGCGTAAGGGAATTCGCGGGCGATCGCGGGCGAGTTAGGGTGTAATGTGTTAAACACAAGTGATGGCATCTGTCAATATAGGAACTTCCTAACTCTTCCTTCTACGTGTATGAGGCTGTGGATCGTCTCCTGTTACTCTGCATAGCTTTAAATGACATCAGAGCTACACTTCTCCCTCTGAGACCAAACATCGACGACACACTGGTCTAAAAACTAAGCTATTGAAATCTCTGAGGGTAACTTAGGTTGCTTTTCTTTCTGCATAGGCTCACCCAAGTAGCAGTCGACCTGCTTCTGCTGGCAAGGGGAGACAATGCTGGAAAAGGCTGGAAGATGAAGGATGGCTGTGATGCGTCTTTTGATGATATTACCGTGTTTGCAATCCCATTGAACCGATGTCTTGCCAGCCAGCTGAAAAAATCGCGATGATCGCCTCCAACCTATTGTTGTCATCTGATTAAACCTTTTCTATGTACTGTTGTCTTAAGAAATAGGTTAAATTTCAGGTTGTTCTTTTTTTATTTTTAGATTCATTCCTGCTTTGTTATCCCTTTTCTCCTTTTGTTGTGCATTTACCTAGTGTTAAGAAAAGTTACCGGAAGATTAAACTCAAAATTTGCCATTGGGAATTACATGTCTGTACTGACCTCCATCTTTTCATGGTTTGAACATATTCAGATGGAGGTGATTGTTAAAAAAAAATATTTGTTTTGACTGACAAGACTTATTGAATTTTGACCCATGTTTAAGTTACTTGTATATTTTTTACTTAGGCATACAATGCATTGAGGTATCTTTTGTTTGGTTTGTTTTTGGGTGCCAAAAATCAGTTACAAATTTTTGTGTGTGCTCAGGAACAAGGTTTGTGCCTTCTGACCTTCCCTCAATCTGTCAAGTTTATGTTTTTGCTTTGCTGCCATTAATGTTGTCGCTGCTCTAATAATTGAGAAATATTCAACTGTCAACTGTAAGTTTATTTCCAATCACCATCTTGCATTCCATTTATATAAGCTCTTTAGATGGGGAATGACACTCACAGTGTTTATTGGGAAATCCCTTAACCACAAAAGAGCACTATCGGCCTTTATTGGTACAGTGGAACTCGGATTTAACAAGGTTGCCGGGCCTGACCTAAAATCTCCTTGAATCCGAGTGTTCGTTAAGTTATAGCAAACATGAGGTTTTGTGTAGATAATTACAGGCACTGAGCAAGTAATGTATAAAGAGAAGTAACAAGTGGGCTTGAAATGCCTGCCTATTATGAGCTGTGCCAAAAAAAGACCGTTTCGTTAAAATGCACGCCTGGATTGTTTGCCAAAAAGTTGTGTTGCTGTGTGGAGCCTAGCCTAGAATACGGCGACTTTAGATTCCTTTGACCAGCATACAATTCATTACGTAGATCACTAGCCTATCATTGTAATAGTGATCAGTTGCCCAGGGAAAAAAGACTGTTATTCGTTTGTGTCTGTGACGTTCCACGCCCGGACCTCTGGTGCCCCCCTACACGCACACACAGTCACACATGTGAGGCGGCCATCCGACCCCGACACACGCGTGCCAACAACGCATGTGTTGGTATGAAAGAAGGCCGCTGATTGGCCACATGCAGTCGGCTAAGTGAATAGTGGTTCACGAAGCAGGTGCAATGGATTGTTTCCGGGAATAGATCAAGCTCATTGTGGGAGAAAAATGAGCGAAGCCACGTCTGCGGGGGCTGTTCACCCTGGAAGGGACCTCGTTGAATCCGAGCTCGCTGATTTAAGTGCTCGTTGAATCCGGGTTATTTTTATTGATTTTAAAGAAGAAAAAAAATACGGGGAATCCATCTCCTCTCGTTGAATCCGAGGTCGTTGAATCCGAGTTTCACTGTATTTCTCGTTATAATTTTTTTCTATTATTTGTTTTGCCTGGTTTGAGTGAAGTGTATTTACATCCAATTTGATATTAGTTTATGAAGTACAAGCCTTGATTGTGCGTGTGTTGTCTTTGAGAGCGATTTTTTAAATGGAAGTGAGACTTCGATTTTTTTAGGGTTTGTTTATGTTGACCACAGCTGTATGTGGCACCTGTATCACAACAGTAGCATAATGTAGGAGAATCGTATCAGAGAAAATAGTGAAATTGTTTGAAGATTTAGAGAAAAGACTTCCGATGATAGCGATATAGATCAAGAAATCGCTACCTAAGAATTACACAGTTCTATTTGACATTTTTGGCTGTTTTGAGTTACCAAGACCATGAGGCCAGAAACCAAATGTTTTATCTCTTCTATCAAAACTGTAAAATTAATCCGAGGTGCTATAAAGATGTTCAAATAATTGCATTTAAAAAAGTTTGACATGTAGTGAAACTTAACTTTTTTTTTACATCAAAGTCCTCAAAACTTGATACTGAGCATATAGAACTTTTTAATTCTAGGGTAGCGAACTGATTAGCAGTGATGAAGTCATTGATCAAGAAGGGAATCAGAATGTTCTGTTTATTTTTTGTGTGTGGTTATCTGTGTATAACTATATTTTACTCAATATAAACCGTTCATACAGGAATCTTTTGATTTGCTGTATGACACAACTATGTTCCTGCACCTCCCGAGCCTGGAATAATGGTTTATATAAGCCTTGTTGACAAATGTGAATTCCATTTTTTTTTAAATTCCCTGAAAATGTGGACAAAATTATACATTAAATGAGTTGCGCATAGCAAAGTCCAATCAAAATCAGAACATTATGAAGTGGTCACTGCCTACTTTAACTTGATTTCTAAAGGTGGCTTTAGTCTAAATCTGATGTGATGTGGACAGGTTCAGGAATAAGTGTCCTGACAAAAAATATCAAGTGACACAGGAATGTCTCTCTTCATAGATTTCAGGATTTAATGGCTTATGTCTTGATATAAACTTCTTGTACTGTATATTTTATAACTTTATGCAGCTTCTTATTTTGTTAGTCTCTAAAACATTTGTATGACTTTTCCATACTTGTTTCTCACTCATTTGATCTGAATTTTCACATAATGTCACACTGACCTACAACGAGAATACTCGCTTTGAAGAATATTTTTAAACAAGCTGGCCCAAACTGTTACCTCAACGAATATGTAGGCATTTTTTCTTTATTGTCTATGCCCAGGTATGTTAGAATGAAAATTATTAAATTGTGTCGATAGTGCTGTAAAACATCTACTCAATCAATCAATCATGAAAATTATTCCAACCTTTGTGGTTTGTGCATTTTTATCTCAGAAAGCATAATTGGCAGACCTGGTTCTTGCTGACCTGCCAGCCACTGAATAGCTGGTCACTAAGGTGTTTATATAGCTGAGAATGCTCATAGAACTGTACAAAAGTATGTGCGCTTCTTTAAGAGAAGAGAAAAAAACAGGACTTAGTAGACTTTAGGGCTTGGATTACACTGGTAATTTGATACCCTGGTAGAGTATTATAATTTTTTAATGCTTTTTTGGGGTGGGTG